ACGATGCGATGCTCACGCAGTCCTTTGCCGTTCTCTGTAGGGCAGTAGAGATCCAGCAGCGAGACATCGCAGTATCCGACATCGAGTGCCAGGCAGGGCTTGTGCCGCGCTTCGCCTGGAAGCCGCTCCTGCCGCCAGCGCCCAAGGAGGGCCGCGCGAAGTCGGCCGCCAGCCAGTGGGCCACGCTCGGCATCCGTGCGAAGGAACGGGACCAAGCTAGAGCTGACTACGAACACTTTCAGAGGCTGCAGGAGTTCTTGAGGCACTTCTTTGACAAGATCCCCCATCCTGAACTTTCTCCAGAGGATTCTTGGGCTCTTGAGGCTTATCTTGGGGGTTATTCCGACAAGGACACACAGGCTAAGGGGTTGGAGATCATTGATCGGGTCCAGCACAAGTTCCACCTTTCTGAGTTGACAGAGTCTAAGGAGGGGTTCAAAAACTTTGTCCTGGAATCGCTAAAGAAGGGAGGAGGGGCCGCTCATGCAATCACCCGTGCCCCTGGAGCCCACCCAGAACCACTTGAGGACCTTGAAGGCCCAGACGGGGGGATCATCACCGACCCCTACCAAGTCATGAATAAGAAACTTGAATACTGGATGAAGAAGTGGGACCCGAAAGACAAAAAACACCCTGCCCCGTTCGAGCCACTTTGGGTCCGGAAGGTCCGTCTGCAAGCCATTGAGGATTGGCAGTTAGACTACCACGACTGGGAGACCAGCGATATCTTTAATGTCGTGGCCCTCTACAAGCCCTCCGCAGCTCCAGGAGGCGACGGATGGTCAGTCCGCGATTTCCTCTGCCTGCAGGACGAGGGCCGCCAGGATTTCACACTTTTAATCAACCAGATCTGTCGGCGACAGCAACTTCCCCTCCAGGTCCTACTCAACCTCATCTTCCTCCAGCCTAAAAATGCAGAATGTGACCGACCCCTGACCCTTACGATTGGATTGTATCGGGTGCTTTGCAAGCTTTTCAGGACGGAACTTTCCTCGTGGGACCAGGACTCCGCGGGCTTCTGGGACCAGGCGCTCAAGGGGAACGATGCACTCAGGGCCGCAGTTTTATCAGAAGTAGCAGCAGAGATAGCATCAGCAGGAGGTATATCTATGGTAGAAGCTCTCCTCGACTTAGAAAAGTTCTTTGACTCAGTGGAACTTGAGTGGATGGTCCACTCGGCACTTCGCCTCAATTATCCGACCCCCCCGCTGGCCTTGGCGCTCATGGTCCATCGGTGTACTAGGGTCCTCACGTCGGCGATCGGATGTTCAGATTTTGCAGTGCCTGACAAGTCCATGCTGCAGGGCTGCGGGGAAAATTGCTCTATGGCACGCGCATTTCTGTACCACGTGTTAGATAAGTTCCATCGGGATTATATGCCGCTCAGTTTCCGCACGTGGGTGGACGACCTCCGAGTGCGCATGTGGGCATCATCAGAGCATATATTGCGACTGTTCCCTGCTGCCATTGTCTCGTTCGGGCAGGACCTTGCACGGCAAGGGTGCAGGCTTTCGCCCAAAAGTTGTTCGATGGCCTCCAGTTCGGCTTTGGCCACCGGCGTCGCCCAGCGTCTTGAGAATGCAGGGGTAGCCATTTCAGTGCAGCGCCAAGGCAGGGATCTTGGAGTTGATGCCACACTAGGACGACAACGTAGACTTAAAGTTCGTAAAGCTAGACAAGCAGCAGGATATACCCGTCTTGGGAAGATTCGAAGGCTCACTAAGAAGATTAAGAAGGCCCGTAGTCTGGTCAGTACTGGGGCCCAACCTCAACTTGTCTGGGGATTCCAGGGACAAGGGGTGGCTCCCACGGCTCTCAGGACCCTCAGAGGCAAACTCGCTACTACCATGGGGATTGTTTGTAAGTCGGGGTGTACTACGACTGCGTGCGCTTTATCACCTAAGGGGCATCTGGTCACGGATCCAGGCTACTATATTCCCTTGGGGTGCTTGCAGCTTTGGTTTTCCATCTTGAATCAGGAGGAACACTTACACGTTGGGGTTGAACGAACGTGGCCCAAGACCCTTGCTCGACTCCAGGGGCCAGGTAGGTGGAACAAGGTGTATAGCCTCATGTCGTCCGTGCTTGCCTACCTCTTAGACTTCCGCTGGGAGGTTTCGCATCCATGGAGGTGGACCAGCCCGCACGGCCAACAGTACCACATCAAGCCAGGTAACGGCGAAACCGGTCCCGTCACGGGCGACCAGTCCGCTGTCATAGATATCTTCACCGCGTGCATCACCCAGAAGTACTGGGGGCAGGCGGCCGAATACTACTGTGGGGGAGGAGGAGATGCAGGAGTGGATGTACACCAGTTTCGACAGCACGTAGGAGGATGGAGGAGGAGTTCGAAACACCTGCTTACTGCTGCTTATTCTGTTGCCAAGGGTTGCATCTGGCATGGAGCCAGAAGGTTTAAAGCAGGCATGGCAGGCCCTCCAGGCTGCTGGAGATGTGGGGCCCCGTGTGAAGATGCCTTTCACGCCTATTGGAATTGCCCTGCCCTCATTTCCCTGGGACATGAGCATGATGAGATCCGTGACTCGCAACACCTCCTCCCCAAAGCTCGGGCTGAACGAACCATATTCCCGATCAAATGGTTCCGAGGACTCCAGCCGCAGGAGCAGACGGTCGGTTTTCTAGCCTCCAGACCTAGGAACAGCCAGGTGTACGGGACGGGCTGCCTTCGCACGGGCCGCTTCAGTTTCACCGAGACCAGGCTTGTGGGCACGGACGGGTCAGGTGGAAAGTTCTCTGCTGACCCCCGCCTTCGACGAGTAGGATGGGGACTTGTTCTCATGGGACGTGATAGCTGGGCCCAGGGAACCCTATATGGTCTTGCCGCAGGAGCCCAAACTATCAACCGAGGTGAACTTACTGCTGCCATATATGCCTTGGCCCTTGAAGGGCCCATCGTCATCGTTACCGACAGTGACTATCTCATGAAAGGCGTCCGCAGGGGTGAGCAGTGGAAACATAAAAGTAACACCGACTTGTGGCTTCTCTTTTGGCAGGCCTATAATGACAGGACCCATCACGTCGCCTTTAAGAAGACCAAGGCGCACGCCACGTTGAGCGACATCAGCGATGGCACCGTGCGCCCCGACTTTTACATTGCCAACGCCGCCGCCGACGCCGTTGCGCGCAGAGCGGCCGAGTTTTTCGGATTCACGGAGGAGGAGGTTTTGGAGGTCCAGGCCAGGGATAAGGAGATGCAGCTGATCAGATCCCGTCTTGCATGCATCCAAGATCTTAACTGGAAATACGGCCCCAATCTAAAGCAGCAGAAGGTCCCGAAAAGTGCCAAAACCCGACGGCTTCGAGAAGCCGAGATGAGCCCGCACTGTATCATCAAAGGGGGGGGTACCACAAGTTGTACCCGCTGTGCTGCTTTTTCTGTCACGCCTTCTCCAGGATTGGTTTCGCAGGTGTGCTTACCCAGGAAATATATATTTGAAGTCCACCCCTCCCACCACCCCAACATTTGTATGGTAAAAGGGGTGGTGTTCTGTTCCAAGTGTGGGGGGTGGGCAGCCTCTCGAGCCACCAAACTTTCAGGTCCTTGCGAAAAGCCAACAAGTACGGGGATCAAAGCGTCTCGTCGGTTGTTGCAGGGACAGAAGCCTAAAGGGCTTCTCGAATGGCCCGTGGGACAACTTGCCCATTTAAGAACGCAGGTTGCGACCCGCTGTGGCCTTCCACGAGAGAAGATAATCTCGTGAGTCATTTTCAGAAAGGGCCCTGGCGCGCAGGGAACCCACCTTCTAGTGCAGGTCAACAGGTCAATAGGAGGAGGAGGAGGAGGAGGAGGAGGAGGAGGAGGAGGAGGAGGAGGGGAGGAGGAGGAGGAGGAGGAGGAGGAGAGGGAGGAGGAGGAGGAGGAGGAGGAGTGGGGAGGAGGGAGGAGGGGGGAAGGGAGGAGGGACGGACCCCTTCGGTGTGGGGAGGCCGCCGGCCTCGCCCAGCGACTCGGACGGCGCCTTCGACGAGCCCGAGCGCGGCGTCGCCTACGCGGGCGGCGCGCGGCCACAGGAGGGGGCGCCGGCCTGTTTCGGGGAGGGGGTCGAGGATCGAGGGGAGGATGGAGGATCGAGGATGGAGGAGGATCAAGGGGAGTGACGTCGAGTATATCGAGGAGGAGGGGTCGAGGAGAGGTGGGGAGGGGTCGATGGGCAGAACGGATATGGAGGCAGGGGGATCTTGGGTCGAGGGCAGGATCGCGGAGGAGGGATCTTGAGAGGCAGGGTGAGGGAAACCGGATTGAGGATCGAGGATGAGGGATCATGGAGACGCGATCGATGAAACGGGAACGAGAGGAGGATCGAGAAGAGGGGACCTAGGAGAAGGGATCGATGGTCGAGGGAAGAGGATCGAGCAGAACAGCACCAATATAACCCGACGAAGCGCGACTGATTGGAATTACAGTAATGCGGATACGCTTGTCGATCTGGGGCGCGAGGGGCGGCGCTCTGCGGCGAAGGCCGCCTTCTCCTTCTCCTCCTCCTCCTCCTCCTCCTCCTTCTTCTTTTCCTCCTCCTCCTCTGCCTCCTCCTTCTTTTCCTCCTCTTCCCCCCACCTCCTCCTCCTTCCTCCTCCTCCTCCTCCTCCTCCTCCTCCTCCTCCTCCTCCTCCTCCTCCTCCATCCTCACGTTCTCCCGTAGCGATTTCGGCTCGAATCGGATGAACGTTATGGTGTACCTAGATTCGGACTCGGGGGATCTCATCCTTCCGCCCTTTCTCATGGGGGTCTCCCCGCCTATGCGGTGGGAGCTGGCGGTGCATGCGATGGGGCCTCCCTTGGCGCGCGCGCGCGGCGGCACCCATCCTGATGGCAGCGGCGATGTGTCCCCCCCCTCCTCCTCCTGCTCCTCCTCCTCCTCCTCCTCCTCCTCCTCCTCCTCCTCCTCCTCCTCCTCCAGCCTCCTCCGCTCTACCTCCTCCTCCTATCAGACCTCTTCCTCCTCCTCTCCTCCTCCTCCTCTTCCTCTCCGCTTCCGCCTCCTCCTCCTCCGCCACCTCAACCTCCTCCTCCTCCTACTCCTCTCCTCCTCCGCCTTATCCTCCTCCTCCTCCTCCTCCTCCGTCACCTCTTCCTCCTCCTCCTCCTCCTCCTCCTCTTCCTCCTCTGGGCCATCTTCTGATCGCATCACCTCTCGCAGCGAACGGTGTCGTCGTGATCAACAGCGTCGCCGTCGGCGGCAGACGAGCGCCTGGGAGCAGGGCGCCCGTGCCTCGGAGCGCCCGCCTGGGCGCGCTCGCGGGTCCTCTGCTCCCGACGGCCGCCCTGGCCTGGCCGCGGAGGACACGGCTGCACCTGGAGGCTGGGCCGACATTCGCTTCACAGTCCCTGCCCGGCCAGGCCTTCGCCTGGCACGCAAAGTGCCCCAGGACGCATGCGCCGTCGCTGCCGCGCGTCTCCCGGGCCGAGGTGCTGCTGCAGCTGGCCCCGCTGGTGCTGGCCACGCCCCGCGCGAGGCACCGGCTCCCCCGTCGTGTGCGCGGCCCTGCCGTCCGGGAGCCACTCGTCGCGAGCGCCGTCACCACGCGAGCCCGAGTTCGCTGACCAGGTCGCGGGGACGCTGGAGTCCAAGGTGCACTCCACCGTGCAGTCCGCCACCACCGACATCCTGGCCCGGCCTGACGTGCTCGACGAGGAAGGCGCGGCAGGGTTGCCGGCCACGCTGGAGGCCTTCATCTTGCACAATGCACGGGCGTCCATGGGATTCGCAAGTTCATTGTGCAGGTCCATGGCTTACAAGTGCGAGAGCTTGCAATGGGAGCAGGGCCGCCATTCGGACCTCCACGCGAAGCGCATCGGGGTGCTGGAGGATGCCCTTTCCGTGGCGGCTCAGCAGCCTCGTCCTCCTCCGCTGGCGGACGCGAGTTTCGACCGCGAGGCCGAAAGCACCATCTTGCGCGCCCACGTGCAGGTCATCGTTCCCTGGGATGCCGTCGTCGACCTCCTTGCTCCTTTCCTGATGGGCATCGGCACTGCTGCGGAGAGGTTCGAAATCAAGGGGCCCGAGGTGGCTAAGCACTTCACCGTTCAGTTCAAGGACCAGCCTGGCGTTGCGGAGCGTCTGGTCCTGCGCGTCCTCTGTTCCCGTCGCCGTGGCGGCAGCTGGATTGCTGTGGACGTCCCGACGCCCACGGGCTGCAATGCGAGGCTGCACATCTCCGTGGACAAGTCCCAGAAGCGACTCTCCACCGAGGTGGCCTGCAAGCGTGCGAAGGCCTGCCTCGAGCACGCACCCCCTCCAGGGAAGACCTTCTGCTCCGACCCGGAGCGGGGGGTCATCAGTGACCAGTACACGCTGGTGGTTGGAAGATCCCAATATGGCTACTTCAAGCGCCCTCCTACTCCAAGAACCGATCTGCTTCTGCTGTGTCGTGTTCTCCTCTGGGAGGGCCCGGCCCTAATCTACGTTACCCGCCTTCCTACTTCATGTTTTGAATATACCTCGGGCATTGTGGCAACCCAGCGTGCTGGGCCCATACCCCGGGGGGCCTCCATCAGACCAATGTACGTTGTACAGCGGTCATGTGTGGAACACTGCATTAACTAATGAGCGAGCAAAACAGCAGCGCGCAGTCCATCGCTTTCTCCCTGCTGAGAAATGCTGCCGCCACCGTTTCCGTTGGGGGTAAGGCTACCTCGACATTCGCCGCTTGGAGCCCACGCCCCACCGGCGTGCAACGTCGAATCCTCTCTCCAGTGCGCGATCACCGCGGCGGAGGAGGAGGAGGAGCAGGAGGAGGAGGAGGAGGGGAAGGGGTGAGAGGGGGAGGAGGAGGGGGGAGGAGGAGGAGGAGGAGGAGGAGGAGGAGGAGGAGGAGGGGGCGAGTGAGGAGGAGGGGGCGGAGGAGGAGTCGGAGGCGAGGAGGAGGAGGAGGAGGAGGAGGAGGAGGCGAGAGGAGGAGGAGGAGGAGGAGGAGGAGGGAGGAGGCGGAGGAGGAGGCGGAGTAGGGGGGAGGGGGAGGGGGAGGGGGAGGGGGAGGGGGAGGGGGAGGCGGAGGAGGAGGAGGAGGAGGAGGGGGAGGGGGAGGAGGAGGGGCGAGGGGGCGTGAGGAGGGGGAGGAGGAGGAGGAGGGGGCGGAGGAGGTGAGGGGGCGGAGGAGGAGGCGGAGGAGGAGGAGGAGGAGGAGGCGGAGGCCGGCGGAGGAGGAGGAGGCGGAGGAGGAAGGCGGAGGAGGCGGAGGCGGAGTCGGGGAGGAGGAGGAGGCGGTGGAGGGGGATTGGGAGGGGGAGGGGAGGGGGAGGGGTGAGGAGGAGGCAGGAGGAGGAGGGGGCGGAGGAGGAGGAGGGGAGGGGGAAGGAGTAGGGGAGGGAGCGGAGGCGGAGGTGGAGGGGAGGGGGCGGGGAGGAGGCGAGCGGGCTGAGGAGGCGGAAGGAGGAGGGGAGGAGTGATGAGGAGGCGGAGGGAGGCGGAGGAGGAGGAGGGGGGAAGGAGGAGGAGAGGAGAGGACATATGGGTAGGAGTCTGCTGGAAGGCGGAGGAGGAGGGAGGAGGAGGAGGAGGAGGAGGAGGAGGAGGAGGAGGAGGAGGAGAGGATGAGGAGGAGGGGGAGGAGGAGGAGGAGGAGGAGGAGGTAGAGGAGGGGGAGAGGAGGAGGAGGAGGAGGAGGAGGAGGAGGCGGAGGAGTGAGGAGGAGAGAGAGGAGGAGGAGGAGGAGTGGGAGGAGGAGGAGGAGGAGGAGGAGGAGGAGGAGGAGGAGGAGGAGATGGCTGACGTGGTGGCTCCTGGCCGCCCTGCGCCTCTTATCGGCGGCGCCTCTCTGACGGCATCGGTGGTGTACTGCACCCGCCCACACCGCGGGTAGCTTCCGAGCCGACTCGGAGGCCCAAAGGTTGACACCAACAGCAGTATCGGCGGTGTGCCTCCACCGACGGAAGAAGATCCCGATCTCGGTGATGGTGGCAATATTCTGGCTTCAAGGTGACCGACATATTACCACCAACACCGAAATCTAGGAGCATCTTCCCCCTGTGGAGGCAGCCCCCTGTGTTGGTGTTGGTGCCCATTTCCAGGCCTCCAACCGACTGCTTCTCCCCGGCCCTCTGCACGTGCATCAGCTGCTGTGCTTCGAAGACGACAAGCGGCATAAACATAAACTTTTGGCGCTCCGCGCGGACTTCTTTGATCCTCGCTGGGCCCCCCCTGACGGCGCCTCCAGCGGCGGAGGCGCGCCCCTGGCGCGCTCCGCGCGCCAGGGAGGGGGTTCCAGCGCAGATCGAAGAAATCCGCGCGGAGCGCCAGAAAATCATGTTTATGCAGTTGTTATTCTTCTAGCGTTGGAGATCGCCAAAGCTTCGGACAGCAGTTTGGCGTTCTTCTCGTCGTCTTCCGCTTCGCCTTCTCCGCCTCCCTCTTCGCCAGCTGCCTCGTCTCACTGCTTGTACCGGCTGGTCGGGGCGCATCGCCTGAGGGCTGTCAGCTGGAATGGCCAAGCAAGCACTTTCGCAATGGCATGAGGCTCGTAGTCGTCCTAAGCTACGCTATCTTGAGCAGTTTCAGCCCCGCACTGCTGTTCTTGCCCTGCAAGAAGTCAACCAGGATGCACGTCAACTGCGCAACCTCTTCTGCTCGAAGATCCTTCGACTTTGTCGTGCTTATGCCGATGTGTCGGGGTGAAGGTGGCCTCGTTCGTGGTGAATCGGTGACCGTCGTCCCCGGCTGGTGCACCGTGGTTGAGGTCAACAGGATTGTGCGAGCTCGTGCCCTGCGCACTCTTGTTCGGAGCGCGTACGGTGCCGCCCTCCTCAAGTGGAACATCATTATCTACTTGTCTCCTGCCCAGGTCTGGCTGATCTGCGTGATGATTGATGAGTTTTGATGAGGACCCGGTCTTCGTGCGCGCGTCGCCTGACGCGTCTGCGGTTTTCGTGACGGGAGATTGGAACATCCCCGCGGACTCGCAGCAGACTCTGACCGTCCCGACGGTTGCTGAACGGCGTCGTCATGGCCGCGCTTCGCTGTGGCGGCCGACTGGAGTGTCTGCTGGAGATCAAGACTCCGGAGCCTGCCCATCTCCAGCGG